GAAGGCCTTAGAGGAGAAAGGAAGAGGAGGGAGGAAGATGGGGGAGTAGAATAGGGGGCATGAGGGGAGTAGGTAGTGAAAGGGGAGGAGGGGAGAGGAGAATGGGGGGGTATTAGGGGAGGAGGTAGTGAAGGGGGAGAATAGGGAGCACCAGAGGAGGAGGTGGTACAAGGGGAGGAGAGGAAGGGGAAGATGAGAATAATCTGCCACCATGTGTTAGGAAAGCATACCACCATCCTGTGACACATACTAAGTCTCAGACTCATGGGAAGTGCCTTCTGTATGGGCCCAACCTGAATAACTTGCTCCTAGGATCCACAGCCAATAAACTGTGGGTCAGGGCTACATTCTAAGTCACTAGGACTCCAGCTATCTATAATAGCTGTGAAGTTGAAGATTCATGTGGAAGCCTAGACATTATGACCAAGGTCTAGTTGACCATTTGCAAACAGAACTCTGCATCCTAAAATGCCACTTTCAACAGGCGTAAAAGATAAGTGAGCCAGTTCACTGACAAGCAAATCAAGACCACAGAATGAGCTCTGATCAATGGTAACTCAATGATTTCATATACAGGGGAGACTCAAAGAGGAGGTAGACAATTGTGGACTAGGCACAGGACCAACACTCCACACCTAGCATACACCATGGACACAGGGACGCACTTACCCCTGGTTTAAATGATGGCAGACCTAGCCCCACACCAATAGTGGCCTTGTTAGGATTCACTACTGAATTATAGTGGATATTCCGGTGGTAGCTGACACGGATGGGTTCATCTTCATTTTGATGGATCCCATGGAATGTGTTGATAGGTTCTGAGGAGAAAAAGAAGGCGGCATCCACAGGGAGCCCAGTGTGGTGGGCTCTGATGAGGCACCATTAGTCCCTCACCTACCCACTACAGAAGTACCTGTGCTGTACTGATACACCTCCACAGGCCGGTTGTACATCTCTGCCATGGCCTGCATCTCAATGTGATTGCCATGACAGTTGTTTTTCCGTTTCCGGTTGATATAGGTCGTAAAGTCCTCTGTGACATAGTTGGAGAAGTAGTCAGCATTCTTCATCTGTAGAACAGATTGGAAAATTAAGGTCTATATGCAAAGGAGATCCACCCACCCCTCCTGCCCCAAAGCATCCCCCCACAGTCTCACCAGATAGTCCATGCAATGTTTTCGCACAACCTCATGCATATCCTGGTCTCCATATACCTGGTCAGCTGGAGGGACAAAAGAAAGGAGAGGATAGGGTCAGAGCTGCAACCAGAAGAGTTCTGAGTCATCATTAAGGAGAAGGTGGGCTAGAGGACTAGGAAAACTCCCTTTCCTTCCCCAAGGCCCAGAGTTCTTCCACTTGTTGTAAAGGAGTAGTGGAAAAAGGCAAGCAAAGGCTAGGGATGTAGCTCAGTTGCTAGTGTGCTTACTTAAAAAAACACAGCCCTGAATTTAATCCCCACATAAACCGAGTGTAGTGGCACAAGCCTCTGATCCCAGCACTCAGGCTGTGCAGGTAACACTGGAACAAGGTCATCTTCAGCTACATAATGAGTTCAAAGCCAGCCTGGGCCTATATGGTGGTGCACACTTTTAATCCTAAGACTTTGGAGGCAGAGGCAGGCAGATCTCTGTGAGACAGAGCCAGCCTGATCTGCATAGCAAGTTCCAGGCAAGCTAGGGCTATAAGGGAGACCCTGTCTCAAAAAAAACAAAAAGATTCAGGCAAGGACAATCATTAAGTTATAAGAGAGTATGGGGTTGAAGAGAGAGCTCAGTTAAGAGCACTGGCTGTTCTTGCAGAAGACCTGGGTTTGTATCCCAGCACCCACATGGCAGCTAACAACCATCCATAACTCCAATTCCAGGTTTGATGCCCTCTTCTGTCCTCCATGGGCACTGTACAACATGAGTGCACTTACACACATGCAGGCAAAACACTAATACACATAAAAATAAAATAAATCAAGAATAAGAAAGTGCAGGTAAGAATGGTACTGTAACAACCACAGGAATCTCTGGCAGATGACTCTGTTTAGAGCATGATTGGCCATTCACACAAATCAACAACATTCTAAGTCCCTCAAGTGGCCTCAGGTATCATCTACTCCATACTCCTTATTTTTCACTTGAGGAAAATGAGGTGGCAGGAAAGTCTGTGGCTTGCCCAAAGGTAACAGAAAGCGACACTGCCAAACTGGAGGTTTCCTCACACAAGTAAGTATGGCCTTTGTAAATTAAAAAAAAAGCCGGGTGTGGTAGCACACACCTTTAGTCCCAGCACTTGGGAGGCAGAGGCAGGCGGATCTCTGTGAGTTCGAGGCCAGCCTGGTCTACACAGTGAGTTCCAGGTCAGCTGGAGCTACTGGGAGACCCTGTCTTAAAAAGAAAAAAAAAAAAAGATAGAAGAAGAAGAAGAAAGAAAAAGAAAGGAAACACCTTAAATAATCTAGGTAGAGGCTTGCCAACTTCAAAGTCAAGTCTAGGCCACAAACAGTCTTGCTTTCAAAACAAAAACATAAACTGTTAGATGCTAAACTCTACATTCACTCCCTACAATAATA